ACCTGCTAAGGGAGTCCGACCTCCGTACGTTTCGGGACTTGCCCGGCATAGCCCTTATCCCGCAATGAGGGGGATTCCCTCCGACCTCTGCGGGATGGTGCCCTGCCCCTTCTGGAGCCCTAGCATCAACGCGGCCCAGGACGGCTGCCAGGGGCCAGGGGCCGAGGCCCAACTCGGCCATACTTGGGCTGCCACGTGTCTAGGCTCAGGACATGACCTCTGCACTAGCCCCCTAGATTAGGTAGGGCTGTCAGGCAGACCTAATCTACCCTTGTCACGTGGGAGGCCAGCGCTGCGCACTACTCTGCCAAGGTCACCTCTGGTACAGTACTGTCACAGGGACGTTGTGCCCGCGTCCCTTCAGTTGTCATGCCTCTTCAGTTTTCGTACCAGCATTAAATGCGTTCACATGGGACGGTTCGATTTCAAGCAACCGTTTTCCCCCCATTTTTCCCCTTATAAATAGGGGTCACCAGATTTCCATCCGCTCCATTTGCCACTTTTTCTTCCCCTTGTGCATTTGCATTTCCATTTTCCAGCAACTTCCGGTTCCCCGTGCCCAGATTCCGGCGAGTCTTCCATCCTCCCCCTGCTTTGATCATCAGTAAGTCTCTTTGCGATTCCTTTTCCTTTTTTCCTCCTTTCACAGTGTCTCTTCCCCTTCTGCCCCTTCCTGCTTTTTATGTCGGGTTATTCCGACGTTACTTCCACCGCGTCCACTGCGTCCTAGAGTCCGGCCCGTCGTAGAGCCACCAGGATCTTCATTTTTTCTTCCTCCTCGTCCTCATCTTCGCCTTCGCCTTCTCCTCCTCCTCCTTCTTCCTCTTCTGTTTCTAACCCGGACCTGCTTGACCCCATAGATGTTATAGTTCTTCTTCCGACCGTTCTTCTTCTGCCCATTCCCCTTCAACCCGGGAGTTGGAGGAGGCGCCCGAGCTCGATGCCTACCTCGAGCGGCGGGCCGGCTCCACCCCCTTCCCCAGGACCCCCATGACTCTCCTGGTGGGGCCCAAGGGGGAGCTGGAGAGGATAGGGACTCCTCCGAGGGGACCCCTGACCCTGAGCAGGGAGATGATCCCGAATTCAGCTACGGCTACACCGACCACGAGGAGGTCACCATCTCGCCGGAGGCGGTGGCCGAGCTGGTCAGGTCCTACTCTATCCCCCCGGCCTTCGAGCCAAGGGCTGCCGGGCCCCGCGACCGGGCCAGCCGACCTCCCCCCGGCTTCGTAGCCGTCTACAATGAGCAGCTGATCGGGGGGCTCCGCCTACCAATCCCTTCGGCCCTGGGCGAGATCCTAAGCTATTGGGGGTTCAAGATCACCCACGTCCATCCTAACTCGATCAGGATCATCATAGGATTTCTGATCTATTGCAAACTCTGCTTCATTCCTTACTCCCTCTCCCTCTTCTGAGCTGCGTTCGTCCTCAAGGCAGCCCTTACCGGGTGGTATTACTTCTCCCGCCGGACCGAGAACCAAGGTCGGGGGGACAAGGGCTGCCAGGACTTGTTCCATAAATTCCCTACTTCCATCAAGAACTGGAAAGGGGATTTCTTCTTTGTCAAGCCCACTGGTTTCGACGCCACCGTGTGGAAGGTCGGGGAGGTCAAGACTGACCCCTACCCGGAGGACCTGGACTCTGAAACCCTCATCCAGCTGCTGAGCTCTAAGGTGAAGCTCTTTGCCACCAAGTTCTCCAGCAAGCAGATCTCTGCGGCCGGGCTGATGGGGACGTTGTCCGGGTCCCCTGGCGAGGTGGTGGCTTCCCCTATCGACCTCGACGCCTGTAACGCTGACCCTGACCTAGTAGCTCATTGCATTTGCATACATCTATATCTTCTTACCGTCCTGTCTTGGCTGATCCAGCGATGTTTTTTCTTTTTTTTTCTTTTCGCAGTGAGGAAGCTTTCCCAACTGCTAGGCGCACCCACTGAGGAGGCTACCCCCACTCCCCAACCAGAAGCTGCCAAGGAGGCCCTTGGGGCGGCCTCGACCCTGGGGGGTGACCAAGCCCCCCAGAAGGAAGTGCAGGATACCTCCTCCCCCTCCAAGAAGGCCGCCAACAACAAGAAGAAGGCGGCCGGGCAGAAGAGGGCTCGAGGGGACGAGCCCTCCCAGTTCGGGAAGAAACTCGCGTTGGTCCCAGCACAGCCCCCTCCCCTCTCGCTAGTATCGGGGGGGCCAGTCCACCTGGGCGTCGGTTCGGCCGAGGAACATGCCCGGGAGTCGCCTCTACCGAGCTTGTGGCACTTCCGCCACATAGCACCCCTGAAGTCGGGCCAGACCCCCACTATGCACGACCCCCACCGCTTCTGTCCGTCCTGGGAGTTCTCCATCAACGACCGGGCCCAGTTTTTCGAGGTGGCTCGCGAGCTGATGGTGGGCTCGGTCCTCCCCCGCGATAGGAGGTGGATGGAGCTAGCCAACCCTCCCGAGCTCCTGGACGCGTATTACACCGCCCAGACTCAAGTAAGTCTTCTATCCCATGGGCCAGTTGTACCTCTATGTTTTGGCGTAACATGCTGACCTGTTTTCCCTCCTGCTCAGGCCAACGCCGCTGGTGCCGCCCTGGCGACCCGCTTCTCCGAGCAGTCTCCCGACTTGGAGAAATTGCGCAAGAAGAATCGGGAGACAGAGCAGAGGCTTACCCAGGCCCTTAAGGAAGCGGACTCCCTTAAGGCCAAACTGGGCAAGGCCGAGAAAGGGTTGGAGACGACTCAAGTCCAGCTCGCCTCTGCCAGGTCGGAGCTTGACCAGGAGAAGGCCGGCGTGGCCAAGCTGAAGGAGGACCATGCCATCGAGCTCTCCGGCACCGTCAGCCGGGAGCGGAAGAAGGCTGTCCGGGAGTTTATCTCTTCCGAGCAGTTTGAAAAGGACGTCGTCCTCCTCAACCATCCCATCCTCCAGGTCGGCTCTACGCGGGCCCTGAACCAGGTGAAGAGTCTCAACCTTCCTGGTTTCAACTTAGCAGATTTCAAGGACTACAATCCCGCAGCCGAGGAGAGGCTGGACTGGCTCTTCGACGGGTACCGCAAGGGGCATGCCCTGAAGAGCTTGGTGGGCCGAACCGACGTTGGAGCAGAGCTGGCGGAGGTTCCCTTGGAGGAGGGCGAGTCTCCTGGTAGAGCTTCCGGGAAGGAGCCGGTGGCTTAGGGCAGCGACCACTCCAGAAACCCTTTCTGTCTCCTTATAAGGATGTGACCATGCTCCAGTTGAAAATGTTCTTGCAGGTCCATCTGAGACGGAAAGGCTCCTCTGCTTCTGGGTTCCTGAATAGCCTTCACCATATGCCTCCCCCTATGCTTAAGGTGTACCTTCAGCTCCAACTGCAGGCGGGTCACCAGCACGAGGGTGTCTTTCCTTCGTAGCCCGGTAGGCTTTGTAATAGACAGGCTGGAAACTTTGTAATAGATAGGCTTTGAATGCATATACGAAATTTGAAGGAGATTTCCTTGCAACTCTTGCTCGTGCCCAACTCCATCAACCAGAGCCATGTGCCGATCTCCTGGGTCGAGCACCAAACGTACATCCTCATTAATCTGACAACCAAATTATCAAAGACAATCAGATTGGCGAAGCCGTGTGCCGTCCTCCCGGGCCGAGCACCACGCCGTCCTACCAAGGCAACGTGCCAGCCTCTCGGGGCTGAACACCAAATCTTAAGGATTTTTCCCGCCGACCTCTTGGGTCGAGCGTCTGGCCTTGAAGGTGTTCGCGCCGACCTCCTGGGTCGAGCGTCGAACCTTGGATCCCATTTGACCCCGAATAGTCCATTCCATGCAGACCTCTCGTGGCCGAGCGTCAAGCTCTCAGATTCCCAAGATTTAACCCTTGCCGATCTCCTGGGGTCAAGCATCCATCGGAAAGTTTTTAACACTGCCGACCTCTCGGGGTCGAGCATCGCGCCTCGCCATGGCGCCCGCCGATGGCGACCGCCGACCTCCTAGGTCGGGCTCTCCCGCATCATCCTTCCAAGTTTTCCAGTCGCGCCGACCTCTTGGGGTCGAGCACTCCCGCATCCATTACTAACCCTTAGCCCCCCACTAGGACATTTAGTGAGGGAACGCTAAGTGTGCTAGTGTAAAATTCAAACTTAAAAAGCAAACAAGTACAAATGAAATTAAAACTTGAAAGTCGAGCTTTTATTGAATGATGAAACTGAAATTCGGATTCCAAAGAACAGACAACCGAACACCCTGGTCTAACCTACGCTACAAACAGTCGCAGATTGGAGAAGTGCCAAGTGCGGGGTACTCCGATCCATCCATTTTCGCGAGCTTGCAGTAACCAGCTCGGCTCGCTTCAAGAACCTTGTATGGGCCTTCCCAGTTCGGGTCGAGCTTGTTGGAGCCATGAGCTCGGCTGACTGAGTTCTTCCTTAGGACAAGGTCCCCCGGCTGGTACTGTATGGTCCTCACTCTGGCGTTATGATAGCGGGCGAGCTGGCTTTTGTACTTAGCCATCCGTACCGCCGCTTCCTCACGCTTAGCCTCCATCATGTCCAAGTTGCACCTCAGCTCTTCCTCGTTTGATGACGCAACGAAGTGCTGTGTTCGGGGCGAGGGGAGACCAATCTCCGCGGGCACCACCGCTTCTACTTCGTAAGTCAGAGAGAACGGGGTCTCGTGGGTGGCCGTCTTGGGCGTAGTGCGGTAAGCCCAAAGGACACTAGGGAGTTCATCCAGCCAATTAGACAGGGCCAGTTCCAGCCTAGTTTTTAGTCCTAGGAGGATGGTTCGGTTGGCATTTTCCACCTGGCCGCTGGCCTGGGGATGGCCGACCGATGTAAAGTGCTGACTGATCCCGAGCTCGGCGCACCAGCTCTTGAAGGGGTTATCTGCGAATTGGCGCCCGTTGTCTGATATTAAGACATGCGAAATTCCGAAGCGGCAGACTATGTTCCTCCAGAAGAACTTCTGAATTGCCCTCCCCGAGATAGAGACCAGGGGCTCTGCTTCCATCCATTTCGTGAAATAGTCTATGGCCACCACGAAGTGCTCATATCTCCCCGGGGCTCGGGGGAAAGGACCCAAAAGGTCTATCCCCCATTGAGCGAAGGGCCAGGGACTGTGGATGGGGATCATTTCCCGAGCTGGCTGGTGGCGCAGTGGGGCGTGCACCTGGCAACCTCGGCATTTCTGTACCAGTTCCGCGGCATCTTGGAAGACGGAGGGCCAATAGTAGCCCAAGAGAAAGCACTTTTTGGCCAATACCCGTGACCCCACATGTGCCGCACATATCCCTTCATGGATCTCGCGAAGGAAGTGGTCACCTTCCTCGGGAGTCACGCACTTTAACTAGGGGGATAAGTATGACCTCTTGTAGAGGATTCCCCCAGCGTAGGCTTACTTGGCAGCTCTGAGCTGGATTCGGCTTGTCTCGATTTTGTTCTCAGGGAGGGCACCCGAGCTGAGAAAGTTTACTAAGGGGGTCATCCAGGTGGCCGAGCTGTCTATAGCCAGAATCTGGACCTGGTCGATACTTTTCTGTTTTACCACCTCCACCAAAACTTCCTTGTTCAGGTGCGCAAACGAGGAGGATTCCAGCTTTGATAGGGCGTCTGCACGCTTGTTTTGCGATCTTGGCACCCGCTCGATTTTAAAGGTATCGAACAGGGCTATTGCCTTCTGCACTTTGGCCAGATATTTCTTCATGACCTCCTCCTTGGCCTCGTATTCCCCGCGAACTTGGAGGACGACGAGCTGAGAGTCGCTCCGAACTTTGATCGCGGTTATACCCATCTGATGGGCTATCCGCAACCCCGGCAATAGGGCCTCATACTCAGCCTCATTGTTAGATGCGGGGAAGTCAAACCGGAGAGCATAGGTCAGTTCTTCCCCGGTTGGCGAGATGAGCAGCAAACCTGCTCCGCTTCCTTCCTTGCTGGAAACCCCGTCTACGAACAGCACCCATGGCTCATTCGGCCCTGCATCCTCACGCGGAGAGCTTAGCTCGGTTAGGGTCAAGCTGGCCCCCTCAGCAAAGAAATCTGCCAAGACCTGGGCCTTGATGGCTGTGCGAGGCTGATAGCCGATGTTATGCTTGGCTAGATCGATGGCCCACTTGGTCATCCGACCGGAGACCTCGGGTTTGGCGAGTATCTGCCGTAAGGGTTGATCGGTCACGACAATGATGCTGTGGGCCTGGAAATAAGGTCGAAACTTGCGGGCAGCGTGCACCAAGGCCAGGGCCAGCTTCTCGGCCGGCGTGTATCGCGTTTCCGGCCCTTGTAAAGCATGGCTGACATAGTATATAGGCCTCTGAACCCCCCTGTCCTCCCGCACCAAAACCGCGCTAACGGTTTCGTTGCAAGCAGACAGGTATAAGAACAGGGTCTCCCCCTGCTCCGGGGCGGTCAAGGTGGGGAGCTCTGCTAAGTATGCCTTCAGGTCGGCGAAGGCTCTCTGGCACTCCTCCGTCCATTGGAAGTCTTTAGGCGCTTTTGGGACACGGAAGAAGGGCAGCCCCCGGACCGCAGAGCGCGAGAGGAACCTGTTCAGGGCGGCCATCCTTCCTGTGAGCCGCTGGACCTCCTTCACGCTCCTTGGGGGGGCCATGTCCATGATAGTTTGGAACATATCCGAGTTGGCCCGGATCCTGTCCCGAGAAACCAGGAATCCCAGGAACCTTCCCGACCTGACCCCGAAGGTACACTTCTTCGGATTCAACCGCATCCGACTCTCTCGCAGGATACCCAAGATTTCCCTCAGGTCGGGGACGAGCTGCCGATCAGTTCGGCTCTTGACGATCATGTCATTCACGTAGACTTCCATGCTTCTGCCGATCTGATTCTGGAACAGTTTGTTGACCAAGCGCTGGTATGTAACTCCCGCGTTCTTCAAGCCAAACGGCATAGTCCGGTAGCAGTAGATTCCTTCCTCTGTGATGAAGGAGGTCTTTTCCCGGTCCTCCTCAATCATTTTTATCAGGTGGTACCCCTAAAAGGCATCAAAAAAGCATAAAACGTCAAATCCCACAATAGAATCTACTAACTTGTCGATTCTCGGTAGAGGGAAACAGTCCTTTAGGCAAGATTTGTTGAGATCCGTGAAATCCACGCACATCCTCCAAGTCTGGTCCTCCTTCTTTACCAGTACCGGGTTGGCTAACCAGGTCGGGTAGTAGACCTTCAGGATGATCTGGGACTCCAGCAGTTTCCCGACCTCCTTCTTGATCACCTCATTACTTTCTGGGGCGAAACTCCTCTTTTTCTGCTTTACTGGTTTGAAGCGGGGATCCACGTTGAGGTGGTGGACTGCCAGGTCGGTTGGGATCCCGGGCATGTCATCAACTGACTAGGCGAAGACCTGGGAGTATTCCCTCAATAGGGCCTTCAAATCCCTCTTCTCCTCAGGGGGTAGCAGCTTGCCAATGCGGATTAGCTGGTCGGGCCGGTCCTCCCTCAAGGGGAATTCCTCTATCTCATCTTGGGTGCCCAACTGCCGAACTTCCTCCCCTGGAATGTAGGGTTCCAGGCAGGTCGTCTGGGCGACCACCTTCTCCCGTCCTTGAAGCATGGCCAGATAGCAAGCTCGGGCCACGTCTGGATCACCGCGTACCTCGGCTATTCCTCCCGGAGTGGGGAATTTGACGCTGAGGTGGAGCGTTGAGGGGATAGCTTGGAGAGCGTTCAATGCAGGCCGACCCAGGAACACGTTGTACGGAGAATGTTGCTTCATCACGACGAAGTTGACAGGGATGGTCCGACATTTGGGGGCCTGCCCTATCGTGACCATCAGGGTGATCATCCCCTCCGGGTTGATGGGGGGTCCGGTGAAACCCATCAGTGGTGTCCGAACTGGGGTCAGCTGCCCGTCCTCCAAGCCGAGCTCCTTGAACACCCGATAGAACATGATGTCCACCGCGCTACCTTGGTCGACGTACACCTTTTTTACCCGGTAGTTGTTGGTGACAATGTTTATCACGATGGCCTCATGGTTCCTAGACGCTAGGGGAACCGCATCCCTTGATCCGAAAGTGATCTCCTCGTCCATGCGCAGCCGCTTCAAGGAGTCGTCATCCTCGGGGGGAGGTCGCCCGTTCTTCCGAGCTGTGTGACTGTCCCCCCCGGTGGGGCCTCCAGTGATGGTGTTTATCACTCCAGTCAGGTTCTGGGCGTCCTGGTCGGGGGAGGGGCCCCGACACTCGTCACGCCGCTCAGGGCGATCGCGCCGCTGGCCTTCACCCCGATCTCAGCGGTAGGTGCGTCCGGGCTCCTGGCCGGAACGACCTTGCCGCACGAACCGTCCCAGGAAACCGCGTTGGATCAAATTTTCGATCTTCTTCCGCATGGCCCAGCATCCCTCCGTGTCGTGTCCCACGTCGCGGTGAAAGGCGCAGTACCGGTTGTGGTTTCTTTTGTTCCGAGGTGTCCCCATCTTGGGCGGCCGATCTCCCAGCCCTTCCACCTCCATAATAGCCAAGATCTGGGCTCTATACCGTGTCAGGGGGGTGTAACATTTCTCCGGGAGTGGCGGCGGAGCAGGGGCTTTCTCCCTCGAGAGCCGGTCATAAACGTTTTTCTTGGCCGGAACATCCTTGCCCTCTAGGGAGTTTGTCCGCCCCTTCCGATCTCCGAGCTCCCGATCTGACTCTTTCTTCAGACGGCTTGCCTCCTCCGCATTAGCGGCCGCATGCGCCCGGGTCAAGAGTTCATCCAGATTTTTAGGTGGCTTCCCAGCCAGCTTGTAGAAGAGCTCCTCTACCCTGAGCTCATTCACGAAGGCGGCCATGATCACCTTTTCGTCTTTGTCCCTGATTTGTAGACTCTCCGCGTTGAAGCGGGTCATGAAATTCCTCAGGGACTCGTCAGGCCTCTGCCTGATAGCCATCAGGTGGGTCGCATTCTTTGAGTAAGTTTTCGAGGAAACGAACTGGGCTACGAACTGTCTGGCCAGTTCAGGGAAATTCCGGATAGACCCTGGGGCCAGGCCTTGGAACCAAAGCCAAGTCTTCCCCTTTAAGAACATGGGAAAGGTCTTGCAGCGGATCTCATCCGCGGCTGTTTGCAAACGCATGTGCGTCAGGAAGACCGAAAGGTGGTCTTTCGGGTCGGTTGAAGCATCATACATTTCAATGCTCGGGATCTTGAACCTCCGGGGTAGGAGGTAATCCTCTATCTCCCGGGGGAAGGGCGAGGTGGAGTAGTTGTTCTCGTACAACTGCGGCCGCAAGATCTGCTCGAGCTCGTCTTGGACAGGCTTCCACTGGGGGAGGTCGCGCGGCCGGCTCTTGACAGACCGAGCAGGGGAACGCTCCAGCCCATTCCGCGTGGGCTTCCGTGGGAAGGGGTCTCCAGGACGGCTCCTCGCGGACCGATCGCAGGAGTACCTCTCGCTGTCCCCGACCACCGAGGCTCGGAGGCAAGATGGAGTCTGCGGCCGTTTCCTTCTGGGGGGCTGATCGCGCGACTCATCCTCCGAGGGGTCAGGGAGTGGTTCTCTCTCTTTCCCATTCGCCTTGGAGGTCTGTGCGCCACTGGTTTCACCCCCCTCTTTTGCTTGCCGAATGATGTCTTCCAGCATAGGGAGGTTCTCCGTCACGAACTGGAAAATCTGCTGCCTCCGTTCCCCTGACAGGGCTGAGCCCCCAGCGCCCGGATTTGCCTCAGCCGCCATCCGCCGGGAGCCCTCACCGGCTCCAGGGCCGGTGCTATCCACGGTCCGCTTGGAACGAGTCCGTGCCATCAACGCAACTGCACTTACCTCTCGTTTCCCACAGACGGCGCCAACTGAAGAAGCGCTGAGCTTCCCCGGACTGAACTGGCCTAACGAGCTCGGTGTGCTGATGGAAGAGCTGGTCCCAAGCCTGCAAGACAAACAAGAATGAACTAGCAAAGGGGGCCCGAGGGTTGTCCCCGAGGGCACTCTGACGGTCAAATTAGTTTTCCGGTGAGTCAAGTTCACGGGAGTCAACAGTCGAGAGTCCTTTGCCAATTAGCGAGCGTACCTTTTTTCCCTGGTATGCGTTACCTTTCATACCTACTAAGGGAGTCCGACCTCCGTACGTTTCGGGACTTGCCCGGCATAGCCCTTATCCCCCGATGAGGAGGATTCCCTCGGACCTCTGCGGGATGGTGCCCTGCCCCTTCTGGAGCCCTAGCATTAGCGCGGCCCAGGACGGCTGCCAAGGGCCTGGGGCCGAGGCCCAACTCAGCCATACCTGGGCTGCCACGTGTCTAGACCCAGGACAGGGCCTCTGCAATTATGATCTTTGGTTTTAAGGGCTTCAGGTGATAATCTGATATCAATCTTCAAGATTCAATTTTTCTTGGTCTTTGTAAGAAAAAATCTTAACTTTTATGTTTGTCATCCATATATATATATATATATATATATGTGCACAAACGTTGATTTCTTTACTGTGATCGATTCTGCTCTGTTGCATGTTGAAATGTTGTTAAAGTTTGGTTGTTGGTTTTGGAATTGGATGAACGTTAGGGAGTTGTGCATTGATCAGGACTTAGCTGGAGATAATGGGAAGACTAATAATTGACTAATGATAGTTAACGTTCTGTAGATTGTTTGTGGGTTGTCCAATTTGCTTATGGTTGATCTTTTCCGTTATTTCAAGTGCCTAAGTTCCTTCTTAGATAATGCTAGAACTGCACATCATAGATCTTCAATTGGCAATAGAAATTTGGAATTTTTGGATGGTGATGGTTTAGCTTAACACGGCCACGAGCAACAGAGAAGTAGTGAGTTTTCCGAGCTATAATTGGCTGTATAACTGTGAATGATATGTGTAAGGACATGTGTCCTAAGGATATTGCGTTGTTAGTTATGCTATTGTGATGCCATTTTTTATTATAATTAATTTGTCTTGAATGATTAATTATGAACGCATTTGCATGTTTTTTTTTGTTTTTTGGGCCAAGATAGGATTTATTAATGCAATGGTTTCTCTTTTTTTCTTTTTTGTTTTCCCCTTGAAACAAGTTTGTTAGAATTAGTTAACTTCGATACAATCTTTTCTTTTGTAGTTGCTGGTTAATGACCATAAGGATCTGGTTTTATTAAGAGAACTAGTTCCTATGCACTGGTCATTTTGCATTCAGTGGTACAATTAAATACTGCAACATAAAATTTAAAAATCCAAATATTCATTTAAATTGATAAACTATTTTTTTGATTAACTATTTAAATATAGTTGGAGAATGAAAAAAGAATATACTACATGTAGAACTTAAAATGAGCCAAATTTTGAAAAGGATATGCAATATACTAAACAAAATGAGAGTTAGGTAAGAGCACTAAACAAAATTCAGGGAGTTATACTGACTAAAACCTCAAAAAATCGAAATTGTTCACCGATGTATTGTTTTAATGATGCATGTGCAGCTTCGATGGCTTCTTCTTTTAATTTCCCTCAATTATCCGGTATAATAGTGAATTATGAAGACAAGGGATCATATTGATGCGCGATGATAAATCTCGGACCACATCAGCAACACCTAAAAGATGAAGGACTGAATGATAATTTTCTCAAATCTTCTATAACTAGGTAATTTCATTCTTTCTTTTTTTTTCGTGTAAAGATTTCTAGCCAAATTACGTACACACGTCCCATTGCAGCTCAATTTGCAGGTATCGTGGAACCATTTTATCACAAAAATCAGGAATTAAACTACAAAGGTTTCTCTCCTGAACTAATGATTGCACTGTACAAAAAAAATGTTTATCCAATGTTAGTTTGGGCCATTTTGGTTGATGCGATGGATGATATCAAGAAGGTTACCACTCCTCATCATTGAAATTTGTGTAAACACTAAGAAAATTTACCAATTCTGAAAGATTTTAATTGGTCCAAATTTTGCATCTCCATATAGTTGTGACCAAGTCTTGATTGACTTAAATGTATAGTTGTTGTATGAGTTTGTTAATTACCTTTCGCCCCAAAAACTAATTTCGATAGAAGTGTGCAACAAATTTAATTTAGATATTAAGTTCCTGCTCTCAATTTTTTTTTGCCATTACGAATCAAGATTCACTTAAAAAAATAAAAAACAAACAACTATATATTATTCAAACAAAAGATGTAGCTAGTATTACAAAAGATTCTACGAACCTATGACAATAACAGATTTTGGTCCAAAAATTTTGTTTCAAAATTTTCATCTCCACAGTTGTGCCAAATTCTTGTTGACCTTTTTAAAGGTTTAATTGTTGTATGTGTTTGTTAATTACCATTCTCCCCAAGAACCAATTTGGATAGAAGTGTGCAACAAATTTAATTCAGTTATAAATGACGTCTCTCAATTTTGTTCCTGTTACAAATCAAGATTCACTTAAAAAAAACAAATAGCAAACGACTATATATAATTCAAACAAAACATGTAGCTAGTATTGCAAAAGATTCTACAAACCTATTACAATAGAGAAATTGTCTCTATTTGTGTGGACGAGTATCATGAGGGCCAGTAGTATTAGTACTGACCCTAGCAACATCCCTAGCACTTGCTTCAGCCTTTTTCTTAGCATACAAAGTGAAGTAAAAGATAGAACCAGCCCAATCAGAGCCATAGTAGTAGGACTATACGGCGGATTTCTCCTTTGATGCAAAACACCACCAGGGCTATGGCCCGGTGGCCTTTTTGAGTTGTCTTTTTTTTTTTTCCGGAAACGTTAGAGATGAATTTTATAACAAACCAAACTTTACAATATTTGAGCAATGGTTCAACCACCTATACAAAGTGCACCATGACACTAAGGAGAAACGAAAATTCTCTCCTCATCCATAAATATACTTAGAGCATAATGGCTAATGCGTTTACATAGAGTCATATTACTAGACTTTCCTACTTCAAAAAAGCACATTTGAAACAGATTAGCTAGAGCAAGTATGTCTTCCACCAATGTGACTATGTTCGGGTTGTCTCCTTTCCCACTTTCCAGCAAGGCAATCAGATGTGTATTGACGTTTATGACTTTGATCCTTTGCCAGCCAAGCTGTCTTGCTTTCATTAGTGCCAGTCTCACTGCTACAGCTTCATCTTGGATGTGCATTAGCGAGCTTCTGTCCACTAACGCCCATTCAGCTTTGATTCTTCGTCCATTCTGCTTGGCCATGATGCCAATTCCCATCTTGTGTCCTCTACTGATTTCTGTGTTGCAATCTGAAGTTCCATCAGGTCTCTTCCCTCCATTCCTTCCTCCCCTTGACTTGCATTTGCTGCATCTGTTTCAGATGTACTTCTAGCTTCCTTCCCTGTACCAGCTTCCTCAAACTCCATCCACTCAGTACTGCCCTTTTGCACTACTCTTATTCCATCCCTCTCTTTTCCTTCAAATTCCAGCTCATTCCTATCTTTCCATAGTTGCCAAAGTATGTTAGCAGTCAAAGCTATATGCTGTTTTCCTTCGTTCCTACTCCTAGCTTGAGTTCAAGCTGCCCACCACTGCTTAAAGCAACCTGTTTGGTTCTGGATCCCATCCCATTGTACTGATGCAAGCTTCCATACCTTCTGAGCCTGTGGACAGTGTAACATAATGTGTTCCACTGTTTCTATCTTATCTCCACATCTTGAACAGAATGGTGATCCTTGTTTCGTTCTCCTGAATATTGTTTCCCTTGCTGTTAATGTATTAGTGATACACCTCCATATGAATAGCTTAATCTTATGCTTGATATTCAGCCCCCAAAGAGTTTTCCAAATTTGCTTGTTGGAGTCATCATAACTAGAACCTGATTCCCCTTTTGCTCCTTCTTCCTTCTTCCTCTCTTCCTTCAACAGAATTTGATAGCAAGGCTTAACTGAGTACTCCCCGTGCTTACTGTGTATCCAAAAATGCTTGTCTCCAGTCCTTGAAAGGCTAATAGGTATCTTCAAAATGTTCTCAGCATCCTCTCTATTGAATCTTCTGAAAATTACACTTCTATTCCACCTAAAGTTTGAGATCAACTCTTCCACTTTTTGCTCCTCCCCACTGTCTGGCACCCTTGTTGTTGGCTTTCCATTTGGATTGTTTGGTATCCATTCATCCTTCCATATTTTTATGCTTTTCCCTAAGCCAACTCTCTTCAATATGCCCCCCCTTAAATACTTGTCTTGCTGACATTATGCTTTGCCAGAACCATGAGGAATTTTTGGGGATCTCACAGTTCAGTATGTATTCCTTGGGATAATATTTAGCCTTCAGTGTTTTACTGACCAAAAGGTTTGGGAATCGTATCATCCTCCAGATCTGCTTTCCCAATAATGCTTTGTTGAAGCATTGCAAGTTCCTGAACCTGAAGCCTCCATCCAGTTTTGTCTTTATCATTTTGTCCCAAGAGCACCAATGTACCTTGCTTCTCCCTTCTAATTCACCGCAACAGTACTTAGCCATCAACCTTGTGATTTCTTTGAACAAACTAACTAGTAACCTGAAGCATGACATAGCATAAGTTGGCATAGCCATTGTAACAGCTTTCAGCATCACCTCCATGCCTGCTGCACTCAAAAACTTGTTCTTCCAACTGTTTAGTCTAGTCTTGATGCTGTCCTTTATAAATCCAAAGACCCGACTTTTTGTCCTTGTAACCACCATTTGAAGTCCCAAGTATTTCCCTTGATTCACTGCCCTTACACTTGCTAGTGGTTCATAGGTTTCCACCTTGTCGTTTTCCTTAGTGTTTTTGCTGAAGCATATAGAGGATTTCTCCAGATTGATTACCTGGCCAGACCCTCTTTCATACTGATCCAGAATATATCTTAGCTTCCTTGTTTCTTCTCCCGCAGCTTTACAAAATACCAGGGTGTCATCAGCAAAGAGAAGATGTGTGATAGCTGGCCCTTGTTTGCTAATCTTTAGTCCACTTAGTAATCCCTGCCTTGCTGCTTCCCTTAGCATATTTGAGAGACCTTCAGAGCACAATAGGAACAGGTAAGGTGACAGTGGGTCACCTTGCCTAATGTCTCTAGATGGTATCACATGCTCCTTGTTCTCTCCATTTATATTGAAGGAATAAGACAATGAGGTAATACACTCCATAGTCCACTCCACCCACAGCTTACTGAATCCCATTTTTTCCGTCATAGCTCTCAGATAACCCCACTCTACCCTATCATAAGATTTGGACATGTCCAGTTTAATTGTAGTATATCCATCCTTGCCTTGTCTCTTGTTTTGAAGAAAATGTAGGCATTCATGTGATATAATTATTTTGTCCAGAATCTATCTGTTAGGAATGAAGGCAGATTGGTTTTTGCTAATACAATGTTCAAGGATAGATTTTAGTCTATTGGCTAGAATTTTGGACATGCCTTTGTAGAGAACATTGCAAAGACTGATTGGCCTGTAGTGTTTCAAATCAGTAGGTAATTCTACCTTAGGAATGAGAGAAATGATGGTATAGTTTAAAGATTTAAGCATATGACCAGACTAAAAGAATGACTTGATAGCTTTCACCACCTCATCCTTAATGATGGTCCAAAATTTTTGTAAAAAGAGTGGTGTCGTCCCATCAGGCCCTGGTGCCTTATTGGGATTCATAGAGAAAATTGCTACCTTTATTTCGTTTTCCTCCATAGGTCTAGTCAGATTACCATTCATCTGGTCAGTAATGGTACTAGGCATGGCATCCAAAATCTCATCTAAACACTCTATCCTAGTCGACTTAAAGAGATGCTTATAATAATTAGCTACCTCATCTGCAATCTTTCATCAGTTGTAGTCCACGAACCATCCTCTCTCTGCAAGTTTCCTATCTTATTTCTTTTCCTCCTCCCCTTCACCACTGCATGGAAGTATATGGTATTTTTGTCTCCTTCCTGAAGCCAGCTTAGTCTAGCTTTCTGACTCCAATATTGCTCCTCTTCTTTGTAAGTTCCCACCAATTGATTTTTCAGTGCTCCAACTCTCCCCTTCCTACCTTCATTTTCTGAACTTTTCTCTACCATCAGTTGTTGCTTCAAGTTTGATATCCGTTTTCTAGAGTTCTCAATGAACCCATTTCTCTACTTCAGCAATGCAACTCCACACCTCTTAATCTTATTCACCACCCTAAACATCCTAGATCCTCTAACATCCTCCTCTCAGGCTTTCTTTATCACTTCTCCAATTCCTTCTCTCTGAGTCCATCTTTTGTCAAAAAAGAATTTTTTCCTCTTCTTATGTTCCCCCGGCATTGTATCCAAAATCAACATACTATGGTCAGAGCCTAAGCTTTCTATATGAGTACATTTAGTATGTTCAAACAGATTATGCCATCCTCCACTGCTAAGACCCCTATCCAACCTTTGTTTTATCTCACCAGTTTTCCACTGATTACACCAAGTCCAGGGATTGCCTTCGAATCCAATATCTATCATCTGGGTCTCCTGAATGAAGTTCTTGAAATCATGGAAACTCCATTCCTCCCTCATTCTACCACCCCACTTCTCCTCATTTGAGCAAACATCATTAAAGTCCCCCATAATTAACCAGTTATCACCCCACAAAAACTTCCTTCTACTAATAACTTCCCACTATTTTTTGCTCACTTGGTTGTCACAGTTGGCATAAATCCCTATTCGCCACCACTCCTGTTTCACTTCTTCATCTTCAATCAACACTTCAATAGTGAAAGCTGAGTGTTTAATGTCCTTAACTTTAGTCTCCTCATTCCACATCAGAGTCATACCCCCAGATCTATTCATAGCATCTATCACGTAGCAATGATCAAAATTCAGAATTCTTTAAGCTTCTTTATTTACTTAGTTTTGTTCTTAGTCTTACTCAGAAATCTCATGTTCAGCGAGAGAAGGCTGTTAACCTCCTTCAGGTGGGGAATTGTCAAGGGGCTCCCTGCACCTTGGCAATTCCACACCATAGCTCTCATTGATCCTTTGGGGACCAGTGTGGGCTGATCCCTTCCCCCTTATGCAACTCATTGTAAATCTCCACAGTCGCTCCCCACTTATATTTTTTGTCTATATGATCCGGTACCTCTACTTCTTCCATGACTTTATCTCTAAGCTGAAACTTCCTTTTTGTTCCATTAACCTCCTTCAGTAGAGCTCTCAACTCTCTAGGTCCAGCTTTCACTCTCTTGAATCTCTTTCCTTGTTGTTTGAGCTCTCCCTGGTTTTCTTTGTTATTGCTCTCATTAGTTTCCATACTCATTATCTCCTCACCAGTATTAGACCTTCCTTTCATCCCTTCTTTGATTCCTCCAGTCCCCCCTGATGGGCGTAGGGTATACATATAACATTAAACTCATCCTAATCAAGTTTTACATTTATAAACCCCTAAATACCCCACACGCGATTTATCGCAAGTATATGAATCGTGAGCGAGTATAGGGTATTAAGGGTCGATCCCACAAGGAAGATTGCAATTACTGGCACTACTAAACTTTCTCTATTATTTAGACTATCAATGTATTATAAGAAATGAATCCTACTGAACTTTTGTAAAATAACAAATGGAAACTCAGGTTATGGTATCCCTAACTACTTGTGCAATTGCCACTTTTGGATCATTGAGTACTACTATCTAGGCTAGTTATGGTGTAATTTTCTCATGCATATGAATCTTACTTTTGTAGTGAATCAATTATACTCATAACTAATCCAACCTATTCTCATGGTTATGAAATTAGCTACAAGTTCATTTTTTTCAATGAAATTACATGAAATTAATCACCTAAAACCATTTAGGTGCACTTCTACTTTCATGAGTGTACTTCCTATGTTTAGCACTTCTTGAACTAGTGTTAAATCTCAATTTTCATTGTAGAAATAATACCTTAAATAATCATAATTAATAGTACTAGATTAATCATGATTTCGAAAAGCTAAAGTGCTAAATAATTTGTTCGAAATAATGGCATCAAATAGCCAAATAATAAACACTAGCAATCATAGAAAGTTATTTATACTTTAAATCCTTTTTACTTCTTAATTAAAGACAAATGCTCATTCATATGCTATTTTAATACAATGTTACATTTTTATAATTAAGAAATATTTGTCACCACACTAACCCTATAACCACCCCTACAAATGAGCTTTGCAAATTACAATCACGTTTCAAAAAAAATCACAAATGTGCAACTAAATGTAAAGTTGAGGGGATAAAGTGTTGTTAAATGTAAAGTTAAGGGGTTTACTATATTTAACTCTAAAAAAAATCCCAAGAACGAAACAAGTAGTGGGTTATAAATTTTTGTCTAGATTTTTGTATTTATTTTAATACATAAAAAGTAGTGGGTTATAACAACCGTTTATAGTTTGTTATTTATATTTTAAATCCTTTTTACTCCTTCATTAAAGACAAATGCTCATTCACATGCTATTTTAATACAATTTTAATTTGGAAGCATACAACATGATCAAGAAACAGCAGAACCAATTAGGACCAGGTTTTGACCCAAAACAAAATTAGGTCTAGATGCCACTGGCACGTTGTCGTAACTTGCATTGCCAATTAGGACTATTTAGCGTTTTTTTTTTTTGCAAAGAGTTAGGATACTGTAAAGCTTATTTAGGCAAATTTTGCCTCATCGGTGATTTGAGTATCAAGTTATTGAATATACTACAAATCCTATAATATCAGTCTGCTATAAAAATTAATATTTTACTAGCATGTGGTATTTGCGTATGAAATTTCAGAGGTAAATCAAATGCTTTTACTTATACTCTATATAATTTGAATAGTTTTTTAGCGAATATAATCATACTATACAGGACCATCACTTTGTTCAATTGGAACTAGCAAATTGTATATCAATTACAATTTAGATTTTGCTCTGCGCAGTTGGTGAGTTCCATCAGTAACACTACATCAAACTTTTAATGTTGTTTCATACTCTTATCAACATGTATTTCAAAAAACTGTAGGTTTGAAAATGATACATGTACTCGAAAGTTAATTACGTGGTTGAGATCAATCAATTTTACAACATCACAAGCATTGTTGATAGCAAATTCAAAGAGAATATGGATATCTGAATATACAATCATGCATACGGTAAACTTACTTTATTTAATTTAATTACTGTACAAATTTTTTAAATTTATAATCATAACATATACATTCTTTCATTCTTACTAGATTAAATATTTTTGAATACTTGCTTACATTCAAAGCATTAACATAGAAAACATGTTCTATGATCTATGCAATAATTGCGGACAACTATGTGAAGGTCATTTTTCAAAAACAGTATGTATGTATTGTAATTACGTGGTCGACATTGTTGTTAGGTAATTAATTTCATGTACCTGTACTTTTAACAAATTTTTCTGTATTGTATATAATATTTTATTTGTCAAACAGGTATAATGTTAACATACAAATCAAAGATTCCAGTAGCAACATGCATCTTAATCTACATGACAGACATGCACGATTCGTATTTGGTTGTGATGCTTCTTATCTCAGAGAATTACAAAGGAAGGTAGAATTTCTTGATATATGTTTATTTTTTATGATGCTATTTATAAGCTATGTAAAAAAACATACACTAATTTTGAATTTCGCACGTACTTAATTCTCAGGACAATGGTGATAAGTTGTTCAACCAACGAATCAATTCATGCAAAGATCGTGCATTTTCATTTGTAGTACGCATTCCACAAAATTCAACAGAATTAATTAAATCACCGATTTTGGCTTTCGTACTAAAAGTTGATTGGTGTGAAGAGTCTTCGCACCTTCATGCAAGATTTTCAAATCGAATGCATAATATTTGTAAGTATTTCATTTTAACAACATTTAATTACATTTATTTTTATTCATATATCATTTATTTTCTAATATAAATTTCTATTATTTTTTCAGGATCTATCTTTTGAAAAAGATAATTTTTGAATAATATACACATTCTATCATATTTCAAACTATAATTAGACAGCTATTATATTTTAATTGTATTGGTATAATTTTTTAACCTTTTTTAATTCACCATTTTATTTTCATTTTTTTCAATAATATCAGCACCGTGCGTAGCACGGATATTCACACTAGTTGTCATGTATACTCATTTGACAAACTGTGGGTCCTTTTTTCCTCCCAATAGTGCAATTCTTTCTTTTAATCAGGGGCAAATTACATTTTAACCCCTGTGATTTAGTGTTTTTTATATAACCTCCCTATAGTTTCAAAAGCAATGTATAACCCTCTCATGGTTTGGATTAAAGTGTCAAAGTAACCAAAATATTCATTCGTAACGGAACTTCTGAAAATGACAAAATTACCCTTATAAATATAGGATACACTAACCCTTGTGATTTTTATATTTTACCATGTAACTCCCTTACGGTTTTCAAAATATACACATAACCCCCTTTGGTTAATAAATAAATTTCAACTTTACATAAGGGTATTTTTGACATTTTAGGTAACTTCATTATGAATGATCATTTGGGTCACTTTGATGCTTTAATTCAAACCATGAAGAGATTATATATAATTTTTGAAACCATAGGGAGTTATCTAAAAAATCACTAAACCGTAGGGGGATAAAGTGGAATTTGCCCTTTAATCAATAGTGCAAATTACTACAAACCGCGTGACCGATTATACTAAATAATTTTGTTAACAACAAATTCGTACACACAGAACGACAATATGTATGCCACCATATGACACATGTACATGTACATAATTAATAGTGGCAAATTAGTTCATGTTTTTATCGTATTATTATGTGAGAGTATGGTTGTATAATAGTGGGTATAAATTTATATCATTTGCAAGGACAAATGAGTGCATTCATATTATAATATCTTTTCAATATAGGATTGTATAATAATGAGAGTATAAATTTGTATCATTTTTAAGATGAATTAATCTAAAATTTTTTCATCCCATTTCTTAGTTATCCTGACTAATATCATCAAGGATGGATCCAATCCCTTAATGAACCAAATGAACCTTTAAAAGCCGGATGACTAAGTGGTATGAAGAAACGTGT